CTATCCTTCTCAGTTCAGTTTCTTTCTGAAAAAAAAAAGCCAAAGAAAAACTAAATGCACGCAACAAGAACCTCGCCCAGGCTACAATATACTGTTTCTTCAGGGCTTTTTTTTTTTTTTTTTTTTTTTGACGGAACAAATTGTCCTTATTCAGCAGGGGCCCCGACGACAGACTGACAGTGGAAACGTGGCCGTTGGGGTTTACTTTATTGCACCATCAGGTCACAAAGGGAAAGGAACAACAGGGGTGCCGGGCTGAACTTGTAAACAAGTTTGGGGGACAGTGAACTAAAATCAGGACCGGTGCTTTGCATATGGGCGTACATGTAGAGTCTGTAGGCCCAGACAAAAGTTACTGACGTGATGCATGACACGTTAAGGTCTGTTTGCGTTCAATGCCGCCTTTAATTAAAGGGAATATACATGTACAACATTTGCAAACATTGAAAAATAAAACTACCAAGTTTTTACGAAATACCTTACTAGGATGTTGGTAAATGACAGTCTCAAGCATCTTGTAAAATTATGGCACCTGGTGTGAAGTCATTTTCAAGAAAATGGGTTTTTTGTATACATTTCCAACGGTGGTCGGCCGACCAGCGTTGGAAAAAACCTCACTATTTTTCAACTACATGTACTGCTCCAAATTTACCATTTTTTTCAGTCCAAATGTTGTTTGCTATTGGTTACATGTTCATGAACGGGTGCAGGCCAGCTAGACTGGTTCCCTTGCCTTACAATTTCCATCATCTATAAATTGATCCATTTTATCTTTTGTGGAGTCAGGGAACCAGACTACTTGAAAAGTTTTTTTTTTTCTTGGTTTTTCCAACCTTTTCGAACACAAAACTTAAAAAATGTCAGTGTAACAATATTTGATCTATTATACTAATCTCTCAAATAGTTCATTTCTGAAATATACAGCAAAAGCCAATGATGTACATTCCCTTTAAACTTCAAAATTGTTATTTCTGTTTGAACGAGGAAACTTAAACATTGAGAACGTTATATTTTCAGTATTACACGTAACTAGTAAGCACTGGATTCGCAATAAATGTGCAACATACAATGTAGGCCCTAATTACTACAGAACAGAACATTTCAAACGAAAATCAAAATCTGGACTGGTGGTTAGCATGTGGGCGTACAGGTCAGGTATAAATTATGGAGTCTGAAGGCCCAGACATAAAATTTTACTGACGCGATGCATGACACGTTAAGGTCTGTTTGCGTTCAATGCCGATACTTCAAAATTGTTATTTCTGTTGGAACGAGGAACCTTCATAACACAATGAGAGCATTCAGTATTACATTTAAGTACAGGACTCGCAATAAATGCAAACTTGTAGGCTACAGGTCAATTATTAACAGAACATTTCAAACTTAGGATCCTAAGCTTACACATGTTGCTCTATAAATTACTGCCGCATTTCCCATAGAAACAGCATTTACATGATGTAGTGTAGAGTCATACTGGAACCTGGAGTGCTCTGAAACGTGCAAAACTAAAATCAGGCCAACTTTACTCGCTCATTAGCCAGCAAATTTCTCCAAAAACTCCACTGGGCAAAGACAAGGTCCTCAGTATTTCACCAACCAAGTTTGCAGACTCAATTCAATTTGTAAAGGAGACTTTTCTTCAATATTTTGCACATGAGAGGGAAGTCAAGTGATTTCAAAAATGGGGCTAAATACTAGACTGGTACATGTCCAACCATGGTCCAACTGTTCGAAAAGACTGACCTCTTCATTCAGGTCATTAGTCTGGTGGCTGACTATGGAGAAATGTGTAGTAAATAGAGACTAGTTCCCGGTGGTACAGTACTGCGAGTCACAAATTTTCGGACTAGTGTGGACCGTCTACTGTTTGGAAGAAAAAAAATCACAGACATAAGGGATTTTCATTTCATCCGCATCTGAGTCACTGAGTCAGAGAACAGAGATTAGCAGATTGCGACAGGAATGTCGAGTATATTTTTGTAGGAACTGTGAGAGATTTGCAGGTTGCACTTGCACGAAACTTTCTGGGGTAATGTGCATGCAGACCTACAAAATATTGGGCTATTAAACCCTGCTGCTATTTTGTAAGCAGTCACAGACAGTCAAAATTCACTTCCACTTCCCCTGCTATACTTTTAACAAAGGCTAGTCACCAGCAGTCGGATCATATGTCAAGCAAGCACTGCGACTAGTCAAACTGGGTCAACAGACAAAGCAGGCAAGTTGTGATCACAGCTGTTTTATCACTCACCTGGAGTCAAAGCATAGCTATATCAAGTTACTTAAACATTCCCAGCCAGTCAATCCTGCTTTATGTACCCCTAGGCTGGGAATTCTTAACTGTTGAAAACAGTCAATTGTTTGACTTTGACTGAAAAGTGAAAGGACTACGGTACTTCGCATAGGAGGGTAAATGCAGGGAGTGGGAAAACTGCAAAAAAATCTTGATTCCGATATAAATAAGCCTGGTTTGACGTTTTGCATCTTTGCGGGCCCTGTTCCAAAATCAGATTTTGTACAAATTTCTTTTTCAGGCAAATCGACTTAACCTTCAAATGCAAACATTTTTCTTGTTATTCTGTGAATATGGCACAATAATTCACAATTCCAACACATTCAAACTGAAAAAAATTGTCTGTAATATGCTTCAACCATTGTATTGACGCATGTCAATACAATCCTGAACTGTCCTGAACATGTTTACAATGGGCATTAGTTAAATTTATGCCCTCTCTATGTTTTTGCTGTTGCTAATTTTACTGAGTCAACCATTCGTGTCAGCTTTTCAACAATGGTCCAACTTTACTTTCCTTTTAACAGAAAAACTTCAGTCATGAATCGGAAAGAAAACTTAAATCATTAATCTGGCCCAAAATTTGGTCGTTGTTGAGGCGAATTCAAAACGTAAGAACATGTTTACATTCATATCCTGAAAGTAGACTAATGTCTCACAATGTACCAGTGTGCAGTACATTAAACATGTTAAAAGAATAAAAAAGTCCCGACAAAGTCTATAAAGCGAGATCGGTTTCTGTGGTCAGACAAAATACCAGGAAATAAGGCGGCAAGTGTAGTATTGCTAGTATTAAGGGAAAAATCGTTGGCGGCAACACATTTATTTTGATTACTTTGTGACAAAAAACAGCTGTTTTGTCACTCCACACTTCCGGTAGAGGGCATGTATTTTCCTTCAACAATGTAGAGGGTAGCATGTGGTGTACATTACTTTCAATAATTTTGTAACCAAGCTTGGACTTTCTTTCTTCTACATGTATACTGTACGTTCTAGACTTATTCAATTTTCTGAACAAAATCTTCAGCATTGATCAGGAACAAAGAGCAACAATAACTTGAAGTGGAATAAGATTTTACCCAAGAAATGTCATGTTTGAAAACAAATATCATATCTGAATTCACATCTTCACCACGAAAAAAAGTCGATTTAGAAATCATCCAAAAATCTTGGTCGTGCCAATTCGGTGTCAACAAAGCGTCAACAAGCATCAATATGCGTCAACAAACATGATCAGCGTCAACAAATTGTCAACAAAGTGACAACAAGCTCAAAATGCACATTTAAGCTTAAAAAAAGCTAGCATCGTATTCAACAAACTCTCACATGTCAAGAAATTGGGGGAATTCAGGCCTTCAATCCCACATAACAGAATTTTTATGGCGACAAAATGATGAAATTGGAATTGCCATGCACTGATTCAAGACAAAGTAGCACTGAACATGCTGAAGGTAACGAAAAAGCTTAATTTCTCTCTAAAGAATGTTGCATCCTGACGCCAATTTTTTCTTCATCAAAGCCTATAATTTAACAACATATTATCTCACTAAAGGTCAGTCATTGCAAAATGTTGAAAAGACATGAATCTGGGAGTGGACTGAGAAACATTTCCAGGCACAATTGCAGAATACCCCGCCACTCGATCTATGCACCTCGTAGCCGGCTACGGAGTCACGGTCGATTGCCCTCAATAAACCTTCTCAGCGCAACTTGTAATTGTATAACTATGCGTCATGCTCCACTGCACTCCCACTCCGTATCCGCGTAGCCGCCAACAGGGTAGTTGGTTTGGACTTACAATTTTTTCAGCAACTCCCATTCCTTTTGTGTTGCTTCGTTCTCAAGCATATCAAGGGGACTCCCACTCCGTATCCGCGTAGCCGCCAACAGGGTGGTTGGTTTGGACTTGGAATTTTTTCAGCAACTCCCATTCCTTTTGTGTTGCTTCGTTCTCAAATAATGGACCCCCACTCAGTATCCGCGTAGCTGGCGATGGAATTGAATTGTTTCTTTTCCAGTGATTCTAACCGCGTAGCCAGAGATTTTAGGGTTGTATTTCCGAGTGGCGGGGTATTTTGCAATTACTCCCATTTCCAATTTGTTAGGAAAAATACTGATATAGGCCTAGGCCTAGTCCGATACCTAAAAAAATTCGAAGTGGCTATCGTTACGGCAGCCGTTGTTTAGCGCCCTCTATGATACTTTTGTGATACGCACGAGGTATATAAATTATAATTATTTGTTTCCCCACGTTTAACTTTTAGCGAGCAGTGTGACAGCTCAGTCGATAGTCATAGAGGGTAGGATTTTGCACCGCGAGGTTGCGGGTTCGCATCCCACTTCCCAGTTTTGCACTCGAATTTTTTTCCTTTTCTAACCTGAGGCTTTGGAGGATTTTTTTTAAAAGGGAAATAAAGTACGAATTTCATAACGTTCAAATTCACTTTTTTTCCTTCTAATTTTATATTTTCTTCTCATCTTTTTATAAAAGTTGCAGTAGTACCGTAACGATAGAAAATGGGAAATGCGTTACGGCTGCCGTAACGATAGCCACTGCGAAAAATTTGTCTTGACTCTCCATAGACTTTGTGCACAACCATGACAACCGCTGGCATGATTGCAGAATACCCCGCCACTCAATCTAGATACTACAGGATGCAACATTCTTCCGACCAAGGGAAATAGACAACAATATGAAAGTTTTTACCTTAAAAAATCGACATCAAACTTCAGCACACACTCAACGTCCGTCGTCCAGAGCTCGCGAAATGAACTAAACCGAACGCCAACAAACACCACACACAAGCCACACGTGCTAAACAAAGTGTGTGAATGACAAGATTGTAACACATGGTGGCGCTGTTTAACAACTGTTGGCCGCAAAATATTACACATGGTGCAGGTGTCATGAAAATCCGACTCCCATGAAAATCGGACCCCTTTTCCCTATTATTGGTCAATCCCTCGTACTTACGCATGCGCAATACTACCAATGAGTCCACATTTTATGGAGTCGGATATTCACGCTACACCTGTCCGACCAAGTAAATAAATTCCCATAAACACCAGTGATAAATATTAAATTCCCATATTTCAAAATTCTTTCAAAATACTCAGAACTCTCACAGGTATTCAGGCTGCACAGAAAAATGACGATCAACATGTCGTCTTTCAATTTCCTTTCAATTTATTGGTGGGTTGACCGATGACTTTTTGGAGAAATTCTCACCCAAAGAAGACCACCCCTAAAAACGAATGATATTTCCCAAACTGGAAAAGCAGCCATTTCGAAAAGATCGATCCCTCCACAATGATGGCTAAATAGCGCCACCTTTGGACCCGATCCGATTGCATCCAAATGCTCAGAATTGGAAGCCACGTATCCCCCATCATAAAAAAACCCTGATAAAACACCTGATAATAAAAAAAACTCGCTTACAACAAGATAGGGTTTCCCGGACATTTTAAAACTTGTTTCATTTAAATTCATCAAAACGGTTAACTTCAATTTCGTCTCGAGAAGACTGGAACGCGCAAAGCTTTGCAATTCATTGTAGCCTTTGCAAAGGCTACAATGAACTTCGTTGGTCATTCCAAACGATCAATGGTCAATCAATTTCAACATTTGTCCATTCGATGTCGTCAAAATTTCAATGGAATTCGTCTCACTTGATGACCATCTACATAATGTAAGGAGAAATTCGTCTTTGTTCAGTCGATGTCAAGAAATGTTGATCAAATTCATCATCTTTAAAGGGAATATACAACATTTGCAAACATCAACAAATAAAACTACCAAGTTTTTACGAAAAACCTTACTAGGATGTTGGTTAATGACAGTCTAAAGCATCCTGTAAAATTATGGCACCTGGTGTGAAGTCATTTTCAAGAAAATGGTATTTTTGTATAAATTTCCAACAGTGGTCGGCCGACCAACGTTGGAAAAACCCAACTATTTTTCAACTACTGCTCCAAATTTACCATTTTTTTTTCAGTCAAAATTTTGTTTGCTATTGGTTACATGCTCATGAACGGGTGCAGGCTAGCTAGACTGGTTCCCTTACCTTACAATTTTTCCGGCATCTATAAATTGATCCATTTCATCTTTAGTGGAGTCAGGGAACCAGACTACTTGAACATTTTGTTTTTCTTGGCTTTTCCAGCATTTTCGAACACAAAACTTCAAACATGTCAGTGTAACAATATTTGATCTAATATACTAACCCCTCAAATAGTTCATGAAAATTACAACAAAAGCCAATGATGTACATTCCCTTTAAATTAAAGAAGAACTGAATTGACAGTTTTGGGAAGATGTGAAAATATGACTGCTCTGCTTTACAATACCACATTTATATAGGCCTACTTATTTCTTGCATGAAATGAAAAGTATGAATTTTCTTTTGCCTGTGTGTACCTCATTTCTTTCAGTTGTTGACGCATAAAATTGTCAAAGAACTAAATGGATACATAAATAAGTATTGAAAAAGATATTTATATATTTGCATAAAGATTATTACATTAAAAATGCTTATTAAAGTACAGACCTACGTTAAATAAGGAGATACCAAATAGACATACTAAAAATAAAGCAATTATGTTTAAAGTAGAAATGAACAGATGAAAACCTAAAAAATACCGAAGATAGCGTACAATCATGAGACGAATTTGAATGAAATGCATACAACGGTGATTGCAAAATGACGAAAATGATTCATCTATCGTACGTTCGGCAATTGCAGACGACGAAATTGAATTGTCTTTCACCGTAAGGATAAGGTATGAAATTGTTTGAACAAAGTGCGAAAATGAGCGAACACAGACGAAATTGAACATGGGTATGCATGCAAGATCATGAATGTTCAAGACGAAATTGAATAAACCGTTTATGAATTTGAATGAAAACAAGGTTTAAAATGTGCGGGAAAACCTAGAGTACGAAATATTTATGTGTATCCGAAGATAAATATCGAATTCTTTATTTGATGTTGGAAAATTCTTACCAGATTTCATGAATTATTTGAACTGAGATAAGTTGACACAAGATAGGAAAATAATTACTCTCGCAAATGTACGAGACCGAAAAAAAAATCGAGCAATCGCTCTAATGACTACCTCACGTCAGAAGAAACCGGACACGTACGACCATTATCCCGGTGTCTACTCATTAGGCGAACAAAAGAATTTCTAAAAGAAGCCTTTTCTTTTTTTTGGATTCATTTATGAGATATTTTAATTAAGGTCACATCCGCGTGCATGTGCAGTTTGAAGTCTCCATCACGATCGGCCTCAGAATAATTATATCAAAGAAATTGATCATAACAAAGATTTTGGGACTAACGAGAAGCCTCATTAAGGAATGAAGAGATTCAGTCTGGCTTCCTTCGTTAAGGATCTCAACCAGTCATGGCCGGTGGCCTCCGGCGGGCGGGTGGAACAGTTGCACAGGCTTCAAATGCTGTGTCGTGCTCTGACGGAGCCAGCTTTATCTTCGGCAGCCGACAAGAAAATTCTGGAAACTATTTTGAGGAACGCACTGCGGCAACTGCGACCTGAGACTTGGACAACTTATGCTGATGTTTTCTGACTCACTGTAGCCTATACTTCTCAGATCTGACGCGTCAAATCCTGGACTAAAAAGATTTCTCGAAGATGAGCTATCCCTTGTGAAGTTTCCTTGACGAGACAATGCCGTAACCGCGAGCAGATGATTTTTATCCTTCGTTGTTTTCAATTCCATCTGTTTTTGTCACCCATATCAGGACGAAGCCATCCGCGACGACGACACTCGTATCAGATTCTAACTGTCTACGATTCTTCATCATTGTGTTTATTCTCTTCAGTTCGTCATCATTTTGACAAGGCTTTCCAAACATCTTGAAGCAGAACTAAGAGCCAGAGTATTGTCTCGATGGTGGACATTTACTTCTAACTTCTTGTTAGTCACGTTGTCTTCGAGTTTCTTCGGCTGTGGAGCTTGTTTATCTTTCATTGTGGCGGTCGTTTGCTTTTGGGTGGCGATCTGACATGTAACTTCATGCACTGTCCTTTTGGTGAAATACATGTATTCTCAAAGGCTGCCCGATTTTGTTCTGCCACTATAGGCATACTGTATCTTGACGAAAGTCATATTACTGTACATCACCATAGGTACAATTTCTTCGCTAATATTGGACCGGTCTATATTTTCAAAACGGCAAATAAGTGAGTTCCGTGGTCTTATTTCATAAGCTTGAGCTGACGTGAACATGTCATTCAGTGCAGCTACACACTTTTAGACATACCTCATTGGTTGTTGAAAGTCACATTGCAGTGTAGTTTTTGTTTTTGAAATATTGGACCGGTCAATACTTGTTATATTGGACCGGTCAATATAAGCACAATGTCGTTTGTGCTTGCGGTAAAGTCTATTGCCCTCGGGGTGATGATAGTTCTGTCCATAGTTGGTAATATGGGCGTCTGCTGGGTAACCTACAACACACGGAATACAGAGCCTATTACAGGTGAGTGATATAATGGTATATAAAAAAAAAAACTAAAAAGTGACAGGGTAATATTATACACCAAAGTTTCAACAAACATTTTAAAATATTAGGAGGCAATATTTTGATTACTAAATGTATATTGTGCATGCACTACTTGTTTCGAGCTTTATGTGTTGCTCTCTTCTTGCGTTTGGTAACTAACGTCCGAAGTGATTATTCATTGTATTCTTACAGTGGTATATTTCCCATATTGCCCGTGTTGTATGAAATTGTGTTAACTTTGTGCTTATGGTAATATTTCTAACTGTCAGTGCAGTTTGTTTTTCTAATTCCTCTTGTTTTGGGGTGTTGGCCGAAGATGTAACAGCCGTTGCAGTTATGTTGGTATTTTCAATGTTTCGCCAATCGTCACATCATCAAACTAACATTTATTGAAATTTGAATATTGTTGCTGATGACTTTGTGCTACACGAGTATAAAATCAGAAATTTGCGGTTCGAATCCCAAACTGATGAGAAAGGTACACACTGTATGAATAAAACCCAATATTAAAATACTGTTAAAGGGAATGTACATCATTGGCTTTTGTTGCAATTTTCAAAAATGAACTATTTGAGGGGTTTGTATAATAGATCAAATATTGTTACACTGACATTTTTGAAGTTTTGTGTTCGAAAATGCTGGAAAAGCAAAGAAAAAAGAAAATGTTCAAGTAGTCTGGTTCCCTGACTCCACTGAATATAAAATGGATCAATTTACAGATGCCGGAAACTTGTAAGGTAATGGAACCAGTCTAGCCGGCCTGCAACCGTTCATGAACATGTAACCAATAGCAAACAAAATTTGGACTGAAAGAAAAATGGTTAATTTGGAGCAGTAGTTGAAAAATAGTTAGGTTTTTCCAACGGTGGTCGGCCGACCACCGTTGGAAATTTTTGACAAAAATACCATTTCCTTGAAAATGACTTCACACCAGGTGCCATAATTTTACATGATGCTTTAGACTGTCATTAACCAACATCCTAGTAAGATATTTCGTAAAAAATTGGTAGTTTTATTTGTTGATGTTTGCAAATGATGTATATTCCCTTTAAACATTACCAACTACAATTTTTGCTCTTCGCTTCAAGCAATGCTGATGATGAACATGGCAGCTACGGACCTCCTTAGGGGCGTCATCGACATGCCCTTTGCGTTCATCACTTTGGTGTCTGGGGACGCTGACGACTGGCTGTTAGGGGACACCGTATGCCAAATGACAGCTTTTGTGAGCCAGACGCTGTGTTTAGCCTCCACTCTGTCCGTGGCTTGCGTGTCCATCGACAGGTGAGTTAGTCTCCATCTCAT